TCATTATAATAGAGGAAACAATATGTATCTATTTAATACTATTTGTTACTGGGGCTGGCAGTCATGTGGCCTCTGATTCGATATTCTATTAAGTTATGTGGATCATCTGAAGAATAGCCCCCCAGCTTATTTCACCTGAAGATTAACCACCCTAACGCTAACATATATAAACCTAACCTAACCTAACCTAACCCCCCCCCCCCAAGGTAGCATTAGGGTGTTTGATCAGCAGGTGAAATAAGCTTAGGAAGGGGGGAGGTGCTATTCTTCAGGTGATCCAATTACTGTAATCAATATCAGGTGAGAGTCAGTACAGGTATCTGGTCCAAGGGGTGTGATACCTGACCCCCTGACCTACCACCTACCCCATGCCCCGCCTTGATGCCTGACCCACCACCTACCCCATGCCCCGCCTTGATCCCTGACCCACCACCTACCCCATGCCCCGCCTTGATGCCTGACCCACCACCTACCCCACGCCCCGCCTTGATGCCTGACCCACCACCTACCCCATGCCCCGCCTTGATGCCTGACCCACCACCTACCCCATGCTCCGCCTTCACTCTAAGTCACTGGTACATGTACTACTCGAACGCACCTTCTCGAGTCAATACAGAAATGACTTCTTTGACAGCGTCTTGTTCGGAAGTTGGAAATAATTCAATATTACACCTACTTATTTCTGGAGTTGGAGTGGAGGTGCTTGATGGTGGTGGTGGAGTGACGTGTTCTTTGGTGGTGGAGGGCCGGAGTGGTGGTGGTGGAGGGCCGGAGTGGTGGTAGTGGAGGGCCAGAGTAGTGGTGGTGGAGGGCCGGAGTGGTGGTAGTGGAGGGTCGGAGCCAAACCAACCTGCCGCACATGATAAACGTTAGCCGCGTGCATGACTGTATAAAATAATGCTTCCCATATAAACAATCCTCTACGTCAAGGTAAGGTTTAGCCATTGTCCTCATCTTGGCGTTACTCCCGACGTCAGAGCATCGGTAACTTCACGTAAGCCATCACTGCATTACATCTGATGTCAACAAGAACGACCCTTGGCATAACGCACTGGTCCGTTCCTCTTATAATACAAGAATAAAGTGATGGCTCTTGTAAATTCACCCAAGTCAGAACCTAACCCAACCCAACCCAACCCAACCCAACCCAACCCAACCCAACCCAACCCAACCCAACCCAACCCAACCCTAACCTAACCTAACCTAACCTAACCTAACCTAACCTAACCTAACCTAACCTAACCTAACCTAACCCAACCCAACCCAACCTAACCTAACCTAACCTAACCTAACCTAACCTAACCTAACTTAACCTCACCTCTTCCCAGGACCACGTTGTAAAATCCAAAGTAATGACAATAATAAACCTCACTTTGGCGTGGATACTCCTTAGTGAAAGCAGTATTGGGTGATTCATTGTCCTAAAGTCACCCAATAAATACCAGCAGCTGAACTTGAACTTGGGGGTTAATGTTTAAACAGGCGAGCTTAGGGTTGGCTGGAACTGAATCATCAAATAACTACAAAAATATATTCTAAAATCAAGATGTTGAACTATACGAAATATTTTCATTTTACATAATAAACTCGTACCAAAAAATGCAGCCACCGGTTACAGAACTATATTGTAATGAATAACTTTAGTGAAGAAATATACTCGTTGATTGGTTAGTTTAGCCACAATAATGTCCTTTAATATTTCACCTTCAGCCAATAACTCGTAGGACAAAAAATCCCTTCAAGAAACTAGACAAATTCTTCCACGTCCTGTCCCGATACCCTGTTGAGTCGCTCCCTCCTTCCTCATTATTCCTCCCCCGAGTTACTCCCTCCCTCATTATTCCTCCCCGAGTCACTCCCTCCTCATTATTCCTCCCGAGTCACTCCTCCCCGAGTTGTTCTCCCCACATTCTCCTGAGCCACCTCCCTGTTGAGCTCCTCCCCGAGTCACTCCCTCCTCACTACCTCCCTCCCCGAGTTACTCCCTCATTATTCTCCCCGAGTCACCCTCCTCATTATTCTCCCGAGTCACTCCTCCCTCACAACACCCCCCGAGTCACCTCCCCATTATTCCACCTGAGTCACTCCTCATTATTCCTCCCCGAGCATTCCCTCTCATTCCCCCGAGTCACTCCTCATTATTCCTCCCTGAGCCTACCCTCATTATTCTCCCGAGTCACTCCCCATTATTCCTCCCCGGAGTCACTCCCTCCCTCACAACACCTCCCCCGACGTCCTCCCCAAGTCATACACCACACCAACAAACATCCATCTAACTCATCCACCACACCTCCCTCACCACTACCATCCAACATCTTCCCAACTCATCCACCACACTTCCCTCACCACATCCACCCAAGTCATCCAACAACCAAACAACTTAAAACAGTAAACTTACCTCATATATAATGCAAATAAACTTCCAGGAATAATATACGTCGGCGACACACGCTCGAGCAGCAAGAATTAAGTTACTCAGGAGAGCTCTTAGCTGGAATATCATTTGTTTACCTCCCGCTGGCCGTCCACCCACCCACGGCTGCCAACCTCCCCCAGTATCACGCGACAAACAACTATTCCATGAACCCTTACGTAACGTTACATTATTAATATGTATATTTTTGTTACAACGTGGAGATATTGTATTACTTGCTTATATAAGTCTCTCGGGTTCATATATACAGTCAACAACAGAAGTTTATCCCCAACCAACCTGCAGGTGATCTGGTAACACTGTATGGGGTGGTAAGACTTGATGTTTATGTTTCAAGTTTCTAGTTATTAACATTCATGATCGGAGATTAGCGATAAATATATTTCTCGTATATAAATTAATTAATATCAATATGAAAAAGTGGGAATATAATGTTATTGACATATTAATGACTGCTTTATAATAATTAGCCTTAAGGATGCAAAGTATTCGTTAGCGTCAACAGTACTACCATTATACGTAGTCTGCTTCCCCTGTTATGTATCACCCTGCAGCAGTGTCTTATATTTCCCATAACATTATTTCTCCACATTGATACTATTATAAGTTATAATTACAATAAATGTGTTTTTAGACAACCTTCGCTCATCAATCTTAAATAACTAGCCACTTAAAAGCATGTATGTCAACTCTTCCCCAGACAGTTCTGCCAGATCACCAGGCCGGATTCACGATTTACGGTCAACCTTAAGGCTGAACGGTTGAGTCACTAATGGCTCACGGGAGTTACGGCAACCATAACCGAAGTTATCGTATACCATAAGATGTGGTGGTGACCTCTGAGCACTCGTGAGGTTCCGCAAGGCTGAAAATAAGGTCACGGTTTCACTACTATACGACCCATACCAAAACAAACAGAGCTGCCTGTCGTACTTCCAACACTACCTCAGCTTATGACCCGAGCACTGCAGTGTGTTGAGGGATCCTTTATACCCCTACACGTTCATGACCAACCACTGCTACGGTACTACACATCTCACGCACTGCCAACGTATGCGTCTGTGTTTATAGGTTGGGTATTATTAGCAAGTGGTAGCCTACAGTTAAGTATCTTTATAAATAACGATAAAAAAATCCTATCACAATACTTTGAAATAATTTTGAACTTTTAGATCACATGAAGATTAGACACCCCTAATACTACCTTAGGACTTAGGTTAACTCAAGTTAGGTTAAGTTAGGTTGAGCTTTGTTAGATTAGCGTCAGGGTGCTTAATCATCGGGTGAAATATGCTCGGGCGTCTAATCTTCATGTGATCCAACTGTTTAGAAGAACAATGAAACAGACACATGAGTGAGTTAAGGGAAGATTTTTTGTAGATATATTTTATGGATGAAAGGTTAATTTGTGGACACCGACAGGCGGCCTCCAGCACCGGCCTGATAGAGCCTTCAGCCTCAATAATAATCCACCATTGGATCCAGTAGTGTGGCTTGGGTCCATGGCACTGGTTCGAGGTACTTTGTCCGTGGCACTGGTCCGAGGTACTGGTCCGTGGCACTGGTCCGAGGTACTGGTCCGTGGCACTGGTCCGAGGTACTGGTCCGTGGCAATGGTCCGAGGTACTGGTCCGTGGCAATGGTTCGAGGTACTGGTCCGTGGCAATGGTCCGAGGTACTGGTCCGTGGCACTGGTCCGAGGTACTGGTCCGTGGCAATGGTCCGAGGTACTGGTCCGTGGCAATGGTTCGAGGTACTGGTCCGTGGCAATGGTTCATAGCCGTGGTCCGTGGCACAGGTCCGTGGCAATGATCCGAGGTACTGGTCCGTGGCAATGGTCTGAGTGTACTGGTCCGTGGGCAATGGTTCGGAGGGTACGGTCCTGTAGCAATGGTTCGAGGTACTGGTCCGTGGCAATGGTTCGAGGTACTGATCCGTAGTAATGGTTCATAGCCGTGGTCCGTGGCACTGGGTCTGCGGTACGGTCTGAGGTACTGGTCTGTGGCAATGGTCCGTGGCACTGGTCCGAGGTACTGGTCCGTGGCACTGGTCCGAGGTACTGGTCCGTGGCACTGGTCCGAGGTACTGGTCCGTGGCAATGGTCCGAGGTACTGGTCCGTGGCAATGGTTCGAGGTACTGGTCCGTGGCAATGGTCCGAGGTACTGGTCCGTGGCACTGGTCCGAGGTACTGGTCCGTGGCAATGGTTCGAGGTACTGGTCCGTGGCAATGGTTCATAGCCGTGGTCCGTGGCACAGGTCCAGGGCATCAAGCCAGGCAGCTCGGTCACAAACTTTGTAATTACCACCAGGAATGTTAACAGCTTGTTATCCTCTTGTTGGCCTCATGGGGATGGCGGGGTGGGGGTGGTGATGGTGGTGGTGATGCTGGTGACGGTGGTGACGGTGGTGGTGGTGCTGGTGACGGTGGTGATGGTCGCTAGTGGTGGTGGTGTTAGCTGTGGGAGTTGCTCGTGATGGTGGTAGTAGTGGTTTCTAGTGGTGGTGGTGTTGGTAGTTGCTAGTCGTGGTGGTGGTAGAGGTTGCTAGTGGTGGTGGTTGCTCGTGATGGTGGTACTGGTAGTGATTCCTAGTGGTAGTGGTTTCTAGTGGTAGTGGTTCCTAGTGGTAGTGATTTCTAGTGGTGGTGGCAGTGGTGGTAGTGGTTGCTCGTGATGGTGGTACTGGTAGTGGTTCCTAGTGGTAGTGGTTTCTAGTGGTAGTGGTTCCTAGTGGTAGTGATTTCTAGTGGTGGTGGCAGTGGTGGTAGTGGTTGCTCGTGATGGTGGTACTGGTAGTGGTTGTTGTGATGGTGGTGGTAGTGGTTGCTCGTGGTGGTGGTGTGGTAGTGGTTGCTCTCGCGATGGTGGTGGGTAGGTTGCTCGTGGTGGTGGTGGTGGTTGCTCGTGGTGGTGGTGGTAGTGGTTGCTGTGGTGATGGCGGTAGTGGTTGCTCGTGGTGGTAGTGGTGGTAGTGGTTGCTCGTGATGGTGGTGGTAGTGGTTGCTGGTGGTGGTGGTGGTAGTTGTTGGTGGTGGTGGTGGTAGTGGTTGCTCGTGGTGGTGGTAGTGGCAAGGATACTCCAACACAACAGCCCACAAAACATGACAACGAAACATAAATGAAACAAATATAAATCGCGACCTATATTAACCCAGCGTCAACAAACACTGGCCGTTAACAGTTACCATGGCAGGGTCAACAGCGAGATGAAACTGATAACATTTACCACCCCCTGCCAACACCCAGACCCTGCCACACCTAGACCCTGCCACTCCCAGAACCTATCATACCCAGACCCTGCTACACCCACCCCCTGCCACACCCAGCGACCCTGCTACACCCACCTCCTGCCACACCTAGACCCTGCCACACCCAGACCCTGCTACACCCACCTCCTGCCACACCCACCTCCTGCCACACCCAGACCCTGCCACACCCTGCCACACTGCCACATTAGTCTCCTTGAGGGGGAAACACGCACCAACGCACCCAGATATTAATTCTTCAGTCACCTTTGTTTTTGACGATACTACTTTGTATTCTGAGACCATCAAGCTCAATATTAAATCAATTAAATAAATCAATTAGTTTATATAGTGTTGGAGTCTTTGTTTCTGAAATATGAGGCAATAATCCTCCCAGTGTTGGTCGGGAGGAACAAATTGATATATTAATGTAAATATATTCTGTTAATGTATTTCTTATGGGGTGGAGTGTGAAGTTCTCTTGTGGTGTTAATTATGTTTGATATGTAATGTTTTAAACCCGTGTTATATTTATCTCTCTGACACACATACATACATACAAACATACACCCACACACAAACACACGAAGCTATTTCAGATTTTTTTGTTTTACCTTTTTTTTCTAATCTTATTTTGAGGTAAAACCGAAAGTGACATTTGGGTTTTTGTTATATGTAAATTTTTCTCAGCTATAAAATTGGAAATAAGAGCCATTATCTCCCTGATCTATATTAAGTTGTGTTTATTGAAATTTGTGATGTTTTTTTGTGCTTTTGTGTGAAGAGAAACTGACTTAATTACCTTTTTTTATGAGGAGAAACTTCCACAATTATGAGAAACTCCCATACATTCCTTCGTCTTCTTCTACAGTAGTTCTTCTCTTCTCCTAGTTCTCCCTCTTCTTCTTTTACTTCTCACTTCTACAGGAGATAAAAAAAACAACCACAACTTCCCCATAACCTTGTAGCTGATAACAAACAACACGAAGTTATAATGTATCCGAGAGAGCCCTCCCTCCCTCCCTCCCCCCACACACCCATAACTCTGGCAGCCTCGTCTCCACTATTTACTCTCCTTCAAACCTGGCAATATATCATCCAGACTGAAAGCCTATTGGTTGAGACATGTCAGCCAATCAGAGCCATCCATCATCCAAACAAAAACATGTGTAAGTGAAGAAAAAAAAAGGGATACATTTATCTCTGGACGATGTGGAGAGATACCGGGTATAAAATATTTCTTAATAACAACGATAAAAGTAATAATAATAATAATAATAATAATAATAATAATAATAATAATGACAAATTTTACAATCTTTTAAAATATCTTAACTTATTTCTTAATTAAGTTAGGTTTGGTTAGATGACTGTAGGTGGCGTCATCTCTCATAAATGATTTAATGCCGTAGCCCCTTTACCCCTCCCTCCCCGCTGAGTGTCAACAACTGACTCGTGTGGCTCAGACGCTCTTATTCCCCCGTTCATAAATTTAATCATTAGGTGAAATAAGCTACTATACCTCATCCTAAACAGATGGGGGAATTCTTAAAAAAAAAATCACTTACGATTAAAAAAACATAATGGTAGGAATCTCTGGGACTCTGGGGTTGCCATGATTTACTCTACGTCACAGTGTCTGGTCGTAACTCCCACCAACAACAACAACACGACCAAACTTGTGACGGATACCACTAATTACGGGTCATATATCGTCCCAGTGGCCTCTCTCTGTCTCTCTCTCTCTTTCTTACTTCATCGTCGTTTTTGTTTTCTTGTTAGAACTGTATGAACATCTGTCTACTCCGTTTTTCCTTGTTAGTTCAAGTTAGTTTCTGCATTTTATAATGATGTTCCTTTTTGTCTCCTAAATATTTATAGTGTTTACTAGAGAATTTAACCTAACCTAACTTCACCAAACATCATCTAACTGCACCCAACCGCACCTAACCCAACCGCACCTCACCTAACCCAACCCAAACGCACCT